CTCACTTTTCTGATCCTCTCCCTCAGAGGGGCAAGTGAGCAAGTGGCTCTATGGGGCTTAGTTGCCAGCTGGGGTTAAAGCATGACACCTGACCAGAAAATCACAAAGGTATTTAGAATAACCCAATCCTATAGTAAGTACCCTCTGACCCAAAATTCCTTCCCGATACATCATTGCAACAGGAGCTAAGTGCTATATGCTGGTAACAACCTATGTCTCTACTGATCCAGACACACTTCAGCATTTTCTCCTGACTTATCAGGATTCACAAAGAGGGTTTAGTTGAACATGTTTTATATACCTATCGATTAAACGTGCATCTTGCATCAGCTCAATAGCTCTTTCTCTCATTGATTTCTCATAACTTAATGGCACAATATCAAAAAAGAACATCAACAGCCACAACAACTTTGTTGTGTTTCTCTTCATTTCCATTTTCCAGTTTGCTAAAGCAAAGAAATACCACAGTTATTCGCTGATGACAATGAAACAGCAAAATTTCCAGTCTGTGGAGGCTGGAGAGCCGAAATGCCTCTCCTTCTGGTAAGGCTGGTGTGAATTCTACAGTAGGAAAGAAAAAAATAAAGAAATAATGGTAAACAGAAGGGAAAATAGCATTGGAAACTGTGAAATCGCCACCTTCTCCCAAAGATTTTAAGACCTCTGGCTATTGTGCTTTTGTACATATAACCATTCCTTAAACTCTGCTGCTACCTCCAGCTTACTGCTGAAGAGAATCAACTCCTCAGTGAGAGCTGGCAGGGTGAGCCTGACACACCCCAGACTCGGACCTCCCAAAAAGCCAGAAATGAACTGCTTCTGAGTAAACTGTCTTCTTAAAACAAACAGCACATCAGAGTATTTTCAGAGGAAAGCTATTGAAATCTAACACTTTCCCAAACCTTATCAAGGACAATATATGCCAAACCTGAAAGGGTTACTTTATTTGCATGAGGAAATGGGTATGACAACAACTTCAAGAGTAATCAGAGCACCTCCTGCACTTTTTTAAACACTTGGACAACAGTCTTTCAGGTGTCAGTAGAAAAGCATTTTTTCCAAACAGATCAGAAATAACTCCTATTCTATGTAAAGTAAGTGTGAGATCTGCTAGGAGGTGAAAATACCTTTGCGGATAAAAGATGAGTTCACCCCCACCCCATTCAGAGTTATTGGCAGCATTTGCTGTAAAGCTGAGAAGCACTTGCGTTCTTCATTCATGGGAGTGACATCCTAATTCGAGGCAAGTACCCTCAGGGAGGACAGAGCTATAATGAAGCAGGATGGCCATATCTGCCATATGAGGATGCAACGACGGGAGTTTGCTCTTGCAAAATAGATAGATTTTAAAGGAAAATTTTGCAGTTAAAAAAAAAAAGAAAAATAATCTTTTTCTGCATTCTTCTGTCATTTACCATCTTTGGAACTATGGGTAAGCTGCCTGGCCCCTCCTCTCCTTTCCAGTAGGCAGGCCAGACCTCAGTGCAGAAGGTTCAGTAAACAGCTGCTATTTAAGTGGAGCAAATCTCAGTTAGGAATGGCATTCCTTTCATCCCATTTGGAGTCCTTATTTTCCATCTTATTTTGTATTAAAATACTTAACAGCCATTACATTAATATTCAAATTCGTTGAATTATTGTGCCAAATCAAATATACAAAGTGCAATAAAAGAGCTCACTGCTCAAGATAGTAACATATCCTGATGAATGAAGAAGGTTCATCCCCTCCACAGTCCAGTTATGCTGAGATCTTGTGGATAATCCTAGTGTAGCTCTGAATTACCTACTTCAGAACATGGCAGCAGCTTATTTGCAAGACCACAGAGAACAATAAGTGACCAGAACCCTAGGTGAAACTTCCTTGCTGACCACGGACAAAAGCATGGATTCTCCCTATTCCTGAAGTAATAATTAAATATAATTAGTAAAACATAAATATTAAACATACTTTTAGGAGCAGAACATGCATCATGCTATGAAGTATATTTTTGAGGAAATATACTGATATATATATATATATATATTATATATATACACACTTTGAAATTCACCTTGTCATCAGGATAGTCTCTCAATTATTTCTCAGTTTTTGCTTGAAATTCTTTCTGCCATCACCAGCTCTAAATCATCATTCCTGGCATGTCAAGCCTATCTGTTCTCCTGCTTGGAAACCACCTTAGTGCTGTATTACAATTCATAGTTTCCAACCTGCTATTCTTTCCTACCTATGCAAAGATGTAATGAAGTGCCACCAAGCAATGAGAAAACACGGTGCCGTTAAAGTTATTGCTGTTAAAGTTATTGCTTCAAACAGCAATAAAAGGAAATAAATACAGTAGTGTTTGGAAGGCATTTCAGGATCTCCAGGGAAGAGAAAAGAACAAGCAGAATAGCTTGCCCCAAACTTCCTGGGGAAAAGAAATGCCCTAGAGGTAATTACAGTATTTCTGTACACAGACAAAATGTGTTGCCCACATTTTCCAAATTAAAAGAGAGCACTTTGTTTTATTCCAGTCATGCCATACAAAGGAAAGATTTTGAGAAACCGTGATTACTAGAAACACAACCATCCTCAAAATCCTTCCTCAGATAGGAGTTGTAGGAATAGGTGTGCTTTCAGAAGAATTTGTAACTGGAAGGTCGAACTCGTTTCACTTAGGAAGCCTTTTTTCCTTTTCCCTTCTGCATTTCAGAGAAAGTTGCAGGGAGAGCTGTGAGTGAGATCTCTCTCTCTGGAAGGCCGAAGAGATAAGGTTCCTTTGCAGACACATACAGGGCCTCCTCGAGCCAGAGGGAGGGGGAGGAGAGAGAGAAGATAAAAGTGCTGAAAGAGCACTGGAACTTGCCTTTCCCCTGAGGCCCGGTGCTGTCTTGGGGCACTGTGAGGTTTTTGTAAGTTTTTAGTGTCCTTGCCTCAGGAATAAACCTTTTTTGAATCCTTTCCACTGCTTTGGCATTTTGGGGGGAAAATACCTGTGCATATTTACTTTACAGGAGTACAGGCTTAGAAGTTTTTCTTCCAAAAATGTACATCAGAAATATGCATGCATTGTGAGACCCAAAAACTTTAATGGAACACAACTTCTACAAAACTGTAAAGATTAGAGACCAGTCAGAAGTTGTTTCTTTTCTGCTTTGTGGCAACCATAGAGATTTCCCTCAAATGTCAAAGCACAAATACAGACATACCCTTTTACCACAAATGCAGACTTTGTTACCATAGCGAAAAAAAAAGCCATGTATCTCTAATCTAGAAAATGTTAAATTTGTTTGTGGCAGCTCAGCATGCAAAATGTTAAAAAGAAAAGGTAAAAAACCTGCCCAAGCAACAGAATTCTAACAAGTTAGCACCACAAATGTAAATTAGTTTTTGTAGGCATGTTTTGGTTTTAAATTCCTCAAACCAAAATGCAGGTCAGATCTGCAACCTGGGCCTCCAGAACTCAGCCAAATCCCAACAAAACAACTCCAAATGGAAAACTAAGATTTTACATCTTATTATCTGCTACTAGCCTTGTATAGGATAGCTGCTATCCTAGAAATCTATGTAATTTGTCCGTTCAAAATTCTTAATGAGAAAGTAAAAAATTTTGTTCACATAATAAGACTGCTCTGACGCTATAAAATATGCTACCCATTGTAGATTTTGGTTCAAATATTTACTGTTTTTCAATCTGTATGAAGTCCATAGCAATTTTCAGGAAGAATTTTAAGCAGGAACTGTACCTACAAGTTCTTCAAGTGGTTTGGCTACTAAAAGAAATTATACTAATCTATACATTACCAAATCTCTATTCTGTCTATATTACAAAAATGCAAGCACTACACAAAAATAAGAAGATGGTATATTAGCGCTCCTGTTTAAACAACATTTAAAATACAAAACCCGCACAGCTTTTTTCCATGCTGACTGAGCAGAGTTAAAAAGTGGAAGTTAGCATTACATTTATAGCTTTTTGTTTGTTTGTTTAGCTAAAGGCTCCTTGGAGCAGTTTACCTTCTTAGGATAATGCAGCTCAGTCGAAATCCACATTCCACTGTGTTGGATCCAAAGTTAAAGCTTGGCACTGAGTCTGCCTGGCATCAGAGCAGCAAGGAAGAAACGTCCTCTATTTCTTTAGCTCACGTCACATCACAGGCTTCACACACAACAGGCATTTGGAAATTGCCCCTCTCAGAGATGCAAGGTCTGTGAACGAGCTTTCAGCTCAGCTCCACCCACATGGGAACCCACAAGCCTTGTGCTGTGCCGTGTTCGAAACCAGGCATTTCCTCCCTCTCGTGGCAGCCTGACTGTGCAGTCCCTAGTACATCTGTTCACTAACAGATGAGGTATTTAAAATTACTCTGTTTATATCGTTCAAAAATAGGTGCCTCTTACACAGAGTAATTAAGGTTGGAAGCGATTTCTGGTGGGATGTCATCTAGTTCAACCACCTGATCCCAGGTAAGGTAACTTCAAAATTAGATCAAGTTGCTCAGGCCTTCATCCAGTGGAAGCTTTGATGTCTTCAAGTAAAAATATTATACAAACTTTCCAGGCCCCCATTTTAGTCCTTGCTCATTCATATTGACTATACCTAAGCCAATAAATATCTACCTCTTGTTACCTATACCTGCTGTATTTTAATCAGGACTTACAGTGCCATTGTATGATATTTGTAAAGGTCAAAATGTTCACAAGGTACAGGTGACCTTTTAAAAGATATTTATGTGTCTGAATCTACTGGGGATTTCCACTCCCTTTGTGGGAGCTGAAAGTTTGGAAACAAAAAATCTGTCCAAAACCATGATGCTAAATTTTCAGAAGAAGTAAGGTTTGCTTATCGTAATTCTTATTTCACTTCATATTTTGTACAGAAAACCAAAAGGGCATTATGCTTTTGTTTATGATTTGATTGCAGAGAAATGACCAAGTCTCATGAGCAAAACTCCCACAGATCTGTTGCGCAAGTCATGTCTTAACTGGAACATATATTCATCATCAAGCCTCTAGTTCCCACAAATTGGAAAACTTAAACAGAAACCCCCACATCACTGGGAATTCTGCTGAACTTTGCTGATTTGGTGAACTTCACTTATAAACATTTATCATTCACTCCAGTGGACTGAAGAACCCTGAGCAATACAAATGAAGTGTCAGGAGAAAAGACAAATATTTTCTCTATCTAATCTGAAGCTTGATCCAGGCCAGAGGCATTTTTATGCCTATGGCAGGAAACTATCTTCCATATTTCATTTAAAGCAGCAATTAACGGGTTCAGATTAATTATCCATTTGTAGCCTAGCTCATGTTTTATTGTTCACTTTAAACTTTTCAGATTCTCATTCTTATCTTCCAAAGTAAGTAAATATCACATAACCATCATTGCTTGCAATTTATTTTTCCCATTTTCTGAATTTTCTCTCCTCACAAAGTCAAGTTTAATCTCTGATCTGATTTCTATCTAAAACTCTATGTTTCTGCATGCCTCCAGAAAAACTAAGCTCACCAACTCCTTGTTTAAGAACAGTTTTTGCTGAACCACTAAGCTCCTTCTTGGGCTTTTAACAGCTCACCTCTTTGCAGATTCAGAACTTAACTGATTTTTAAAGCTGCTAAAAGCCAAATTCTCCCTTTGGCTCACAGTAAGAGTTCTTCTGTAATTTTCTTCTAATAGCCCTGGATGAACATTAGCAGCTGTTTGTGTATAATAATTCATATAATGTGGTATTTGTGATGTACATCCTTCCTGTAGAGTCCATCTGGCAGGACTGGTCTCTTAATAAGTATCCCAAGATCTATCTTTATTGTCCAGAATGTTGTTACACAGCTGTGTCTCCCTGATAATAGCTATCCCTATGTTTATATCATGTTATATTCACCTCACACAATTTTGGAGCAAGCTGAGAAGCTATAAAATAACTGCAGCACTTACACAGATACCAGCTGCTGTCAGGACACAGAGGGATAACATTATGTGTTGGAACTATTTTTCATGCTAGAAAGGCTTGTTCCAGCCCAGAGCAGCTTCACTAATTTCAATACTTACACTTCCAAACCACGGGTGTTTTTACTACCAGCACGGATTAATTTATAGATCACTACAGCTGGGAAAATAGGACTTTGCAAATGTAGATGCCTACTGTGGCAGTCATTTTAAACTGCAATTTGGTTTTCCAAAAAAATCCTTATATTCTACGAACTCCTGACTTCATCTACACTACATAATAGCACTCTAGCATTTGGTATGGATATAGTTTTGTGTGTGAATCAGCTTTAGAACCACATGCAGTGTAATTGCTTAGGGACAAGCCACATTAACATAGTCTTAAAAGTTCTGCTTATCAAGTATTCAAACTTCGGGTTTTACTTCTTTGTAAAGATTGCAATCTCCAAGGCTCTCAGTTTGGCATTTCTTGAGTACAGCTATCAGTGTTTCAATTAGAAACTGTTACAACAGGTTAGGAAGAGGAATCCCAGGTACCAGGATTTCTGTTTTCATAAAAATAGCAATACAGGCAGTCTTAACTGTTGCAAATTGAATTCCATCTGTTTCTTCTACTTACCTTAGTATTAGTTTCAGATCCTAAAATGAAGTGAGTTCACACTTGGAGGGGGTGGTGATGGGAAGTTCTTTGGTCGTTTTAATCTGTTTAAATCAGCATGTTTGCAACATATTTCTCAGATAAGATCTTGTGATAAATATTAATCTACGCTTGGGAAATCAAGAGGTTAAGAACCAACTCACTAAAAAACCTCTTTTTCCCATGCTCTTGCTCTGCTCTGTGGGTGCCTGAAGCTGCCACAGTTTCATGACTTAATTTGACCAGCATCCTGAAGACTGTTCAGATGATGCCATATACTCTCAGGATATGTAAGTACAGAACCACACCAGTTGGCACCTATTACCAAATGCAAAAGAAACAGGAAGTACAAAGATAAGGTTTTCTCTTCACAGAAAAACGCTACATATGAAGCACATGAAGATACAATCAAAGCTCCTAAGAAGGAAGTTAAACTGAACATTTCTAAAGCTGAAAGCAAATAGCCCATAAGGAATGCAGATACCTTTCAGGATGAACACAAATGAGTACTATTCTGCCACCCACTAATATCTCTTGTCAACAACTTTTTATAAAAATACCAAAGTGGTTGTGGGTTTTCCTCGCTCAGTACTCTGTCAGAACTAATTTCTGTACTTTCTTGGAAAGAAAGATGGAGAAAGTAGCTGCAGGGGAAAAAAAAAGCTGCAATAAGCTTATCTAGTAATCTAAATTATGCTTATTTTAAAATAATAGTAATATTTAGAATTGATAATGCCCAAAAAGTGAGGAAAACCAAACAAAGTGTCTGTTTAGCTATATGTTTGTTCTACAAAGGTATCAGGTATCCAGTTTAACTCTTGATTCAAGGAAGGTGAAAGTTCTTGCCACAATGTGGCAGGAACTTCCCAACTAAAATCATATTTAATCTGTAGTCTGATGACAGATTGCTAAGTGGCAGGATTAGAGACTCTTTCTGAGAACCAGGATGCAAAACTAGCTTGCTTCAGATGGGTCGGCTTTTTTATTTGGAGGTTGTTCCCCCACCCAAGAAAATAAAAATCAAAATCTTTTCAGAAAAACAATAGAAGAGGTCACAGAAGACTTGTGGACAGCAGAAGTTGTTTCCTACTCAGTTGGAGAATTTTAACCTAAAAAGGCTTCCGGAAACGTTACCAAAAAAAAGGTACTTTCCCCACTCGGGATTGATTTCTATGTAAGCACTCTTTCCTGTTAAAAATAAAAATTCTCAGAGCTCTGTTTCTGCCACTTCCCACTCCAATTTTTCAGGAAGAGCAAATCTATTTATAATTTCATATCTATTTAAAGTAGTAGCTGCCCTTGTGACATTAGGCACCCACAGCCATGCAGGGCAGCAAGCTCCACTGGATGCCATGTTTCCTGTTTAGCATGGGTTTCTGAGAAGAGCTAATACTTTTGGTATCAGTGAGAAAACCCAAATTAGAGCAAGTCTACTTAGTCAGCTTCATTTTTGCTATCTAATAATGAGTTGATATTTTTTATTTGTGTTTCAAAGGCTTGCCTTTGAGTTTTGAGGTGATGCCTAAAAGTCATCATCATTGCATGATCTGCAGATGACATCCAAGTAATCCTTGAGCAAAGCCTGAGTCCTTATTCATTCCTCTGCCTCCTTCACTGGAGCTCATCCCCGAAATATAGTAGCTACACTGGTTTTGGAGTTGTTTTACCCTGTGCTCACAGCTGACAGCTCTGCTGGTGAAAGTGTAAGCCTAGACCTAACCTACATCTTTCAGTGATGTAACGTGACCAATGTTTATCAATGCAGCATTGGAAATTACAGTTCTGTGCCTTGGCCAATGTAATTTATTTTTTCACTTTTGTTTACTCTCAGAATTATTCTGACGAACTGGAACATCACAAAGCTCAGGAAGGACCTTAACATTTAATCCACCGCAGTCGCTCATACTGTGCTATCAGCAGCAAGAAGGTGCGACCAGGTTACAGTGATCACTGAAGCTCCAGAGAATGCTTCACATAACAACAGCCAGACTATGGTAGCAGAGGATGGTATCTTCTGGATTAAAAAAAAGGAATTAACATAATACAGGTGTATGAGAAAAGTTTCAAGCGTTCTGTCTGCCACCGACTTTAAACTTTTTTCCTACATTTCTTTGCTTTAGAGCTTTTATTGTTTGCTACTTTTTCTGCCAAATTATAATTACTTTAAATTGTGCTCTCAAGACATAACAAAATCCCAAAGGTAATTCTGCATAAACATCAACAGTGGTACGTAGTGGATTCTACAACAGTAACGCATCTAACAAGTCATATGCCTAAACCCAAGTTACAGGACAAAGGAGAAGAGCAGCAAGCTAAATGTGAGTAGGGCAACAGAAGGTCTAATATTGACTGTTATACATCTCTATACCACAACATAGCTACAAATACAACAGGCATCCATTATATGGTAGATTTCTACTGTATTTACACTGAAACACATTCATTCTTATACCAACTTTCTAAATAATCAGCTTGTCACTTCATTAGCAATTCCTAAAGACTCATGCAATGACTTCTCTTTGCTGTGTATCCGCAACCAAGTGTACCAGGCACACATACAAGTAGGGTTTATTTTCCTACCCCAGAAGTATTATGAACCTAAATGCAGCATGGAAATAAATTGACCAGTTATGCCTCTTGTCTAGATCACTCTGAACAAACTGGAAACTAAGGAAAATCACTCATTCAGTCTGTCAGAGGCTTTCAAAGTAATTATTAACTCAAATCTAAAAAATCTAAAATTTGCTGCAATTAAGTTAGCTGCCTCAGAATCTGACATGAAGCACAATCATATGCTCTTAAACATCCAGAGCTGTGGGCAAATAAGAGATCCTAGATATAATATTATTATTTTTTACGGAAATGTTAAGAAACTTCTAAGTATCTTTTTTCTGGAGATGTCTTTGTTGGATCAGAAAATGTTCCAACTTAGGATCCATTATTACTGAGGTACTTTATAATCTACACAACATATTGTGATGCTTAAGAACAGGTTTCTTTAATTGAGGAATTTGGCAGTAATTTGAATGAGGCAGTAGGTAAAAAATTGCTGTGATTCTATTGGAAAGAGAGCTCCCTTGCAGCCATGAGAGCAAATCACCATGGAAACTTTTTGCTAAGATGATATTAAAGCACAGCACATACACTTACATCTCTCCTTTTGTAATAAGCAGTATTTTGTGATACAGTCTGGAGTGACTGAGTAAAAGGGCTATTTGCACAGCAAGAGACCAGGACTTACTCAGGACTACTGCAGAATTTTGTTATGCTCTGGAGCTGGCCAGTTGACAGTATATCTTGTTACAGAAGAAAAGCATTAGGAGATGAATGGATCTTATCCAACCAACTTGATAAAGTCAAGTTGATAAACACACAGGAAAAATAGGTTTGTGACCTGGCCTCAAACTATTTTATCACCATGAGAAGCTAACTGAGTGTTTTCATGTTGTCATAGAATGATCTGTTTTTCCAATCAGGATAAACCAAGCTCATACGCTCCACTGAAGTTGTAGTATCTTCTTACCTTCCCTCATATAAACACCAAGTCTAGTATTTAACAGGAGAGCAGCGCCCCTCCAGGGTGATCTTGTGCCTCTGGCTTTCACAACACAAGTATGTCTCCTCAGACTCTGCACTGGGATTTGATTACCCTCTGCATAAAGTCATACATGTGTTTACAAATATATCACATTAGGACCCAAATGAAGAAATCTTTTTCTTCTGTGTTAAGGCCAAAATTTGAGACATCATTCACACCACTTTGATCACTCTCAGTTTGCAGAAGAGCTCTGCACAAAACCACAGGAGCACACAGGAAGACATATGCTGTCTTGAATCTGATGACACCAGTCGTAACACGTTCCTTATTCTCTACAGAATACTAATCAAGTCTCAGCAAGCATCCTGTTTTGAGTTTTATTATGGTTTTGTCATCTTCTTGTCATAGTTTTATATGTATCAGCCAACACTGCATGCCCAGGAGTCCTCTCTTTCTGTAGCTTTATCCCAACATAATTTCTATTAGAGCCAAAATCATAATTTGTTGGTCATAAATGAAAAACAGACTTTGTTAAACAACTCTACCTGCCTTATCAAAAATTAAACTGCAGAAGAAAGCAAACAGTGTGGATACAATGCTTTTGGCTCTTTAAATGGAGCTGGTTTATTTTTATTATAAATTTTAGGTAAGGTAAAATTTATTTGTAGGGTATTTATAACCAGCTACCTGTCCAGTAAGGACGACATGAAAAAGTCATGTGAGGACTTAGGGCCAGACTGAGATGCATAAGTTGAAGTGTGGAGATTTCAGAGATTTCATTGCTTGTTTTCGACTAGTTGCATCTGGGTAGCTCATTACTCAGCCTAAAGGGCTTTTCGGCCCCAATCAGCCTTTTGAAGAGCACAGTATACCAAGACAGCTGCTGAACCCAAATCCACAAACTGGACTTTGGTGCTGGATCTCTATTTGTTTTTTTTTAAATGGATCTGAATCTGAGATGTAACCCACATTCTCCAGAGAGAGAGAGAAATGTGACAGTAAGGTTCTTGCTTGTTGTTATGCTTGAGTGCCCTCCTTCCACTCAAAAGTCAAAAGGCTTAGAGAGCTAATGCACAGGTATCAGAAAGCTGAACCATGACTATCAAAACAGTAAGAGTGGTTTACAACATACCTGATATTTAGTGCAATTAGGAGCTGAAGCACCTATTAGCAATCAGAAAATGGACAAATTAGTTTGTACCTACACAAGATAAAAATGTTACCATTTAAATACTACCATCTAATGTTTAGGGTTTTTTTTCCCCCTACACTTATTCCTAGGGTTGACATTCTCCTACTCTTCTTACAGTGGGATTGCAAAGTTATCTCTAGTGGTCCAGTACTGTCCTCTCTCAACAAGACACCTCTGATGCCTGTTTAGTCAGGGACTCAGCATGTGAGTCCAATGCTTTTATCTAACCAAAAGAGTTTAGACAAAGGCAACAGCATCTGCCTTCCAGTTCAATCTTGATCTAGGTAATATCTGTCAGACTTCTACTTTTTTTTCCCCTCCCGCAGAGAACATTCCGTTTCCTTTTCCTACATCCTCTCACTCATGTTTAAATGAGTACTTAGTAAACTGACTTGACCTTCTCCTCCTACTTGGACTAGTGAATAGGTCTTATGGCAAGTATTTTGTCTTGGCATGGTCAGTTCCCTTCTGACTGTATTTGGACTGGGAATTCTTTAGGACAGGAGATTTCTCCTTGTCAGGAAGAAGTTGAGAAGTGGCACAAAATGGGAAACAGAAGAAGGAATCTTTACCTTTTTGGAAACTTTAAATGCCATGGTAAACACACTTTCAACATAAGTTTTCAGCACAGCATGGAAATTAACACTGAAAGTTATTTCTTCCTAAGACCAGCCAGGAATACTCCCACACCAGCCAGCCTCCATTTGAAGTCAGATTTGCAGCATCTCAGTTCCCTGATGAAATCAAGCTGAGTTCTCACACATAGTTAACCGGATGTCTCATTCACCAGGTGACTCCCACTTCCCATCCAGAATACTCACCTTTCCTACCACTCCCCCAATTATAATAACACTCTCACTGAACTGGAATGTCCTTTCTTGTAAGAATTTAGGCAATTTTTATTAATTTCTTTTTTTACAAATCTAAACAATCCTATGATCTATCCCTCCTCACTGCCAGAACTGTGCTCTCCTCTGCCCGTTTTCTGCTTACTGTGTCATACAATCTTTCAGATCTGCAAAGCTGTGTTTGTTCTGCAGGTGACACATACAAGCAATTCTCAAATTCTTGCATGCATTGGCTCAAATCCCCTGCAGCAGAAACCATACATGGTGCAGTTTTTATTATTTTGCCCAAACCCACTAAAAGACAAAAAATAGATGCTCTCATTTGCTATGATTGCTACATGAGCTTCTTAAATAATTCTTTCTGGTATGACTGCCCACTAAAGAGAAGTGAAAAAAACCCCAACCAAAATACAAAACCCCCAAACATCTAAAAGATAGAGATAGCCATGGAAATCACTTGCAAAAGCCTTCTCTAAAATGTTACATGTAGTTATATGAATAGTATTATAAGAAGTAACCTTACTGGGGTAACATATTGTCACAAAAGGAAAAGCAAACATTAAAGTTTCAATTCAAGGGTGTATGCTTGCATGAGGCTGAGAGGAAAGCAATATCAGGTAGAGTTATTAAGTTATTACTGAACTGACTATATGTTTGAGGGAAAGAAAGGCCATGGGCCGCCACGGGAGCTGCCCGAAGGCAGCGAAGGAGGTGAAATGCCAGTAGATGGCACTCAGGCTGCAGCACAGCCCAGGAGCACGCATAGTCCCGGCGGACACGGGCAAATAGACAAAGGATTTGGGGAACTGGAAGACTTAATGATGTCTGAGGTAAACTGCCACAGCACGCAAGGCAGTCAGGCCATAGAAGAAGAAGAGAAGCTACAGGTAGTATCCAGGTAGCTGCTCCAGCCACGGTGACCTGCTCAGAAGGGGAAATAAATTTTTCCGTTGCAGCTTAGTCATCTTTCACTCCCTGGCCAATTTCCACCTCACCCCATAACTATCCCCAAAGCTACGGGGGGGAATAAGGAGTCTAGCTTCAGAACAGTTTTAAACAAGGGTATAGTCAGAGCAGGCTAAGGAAGGCAGTACTGTCCTCTCCCAACAAGAGCTTAGAAACAAGTCACAAGGCAGTTACTGAACTTTGTTTCTAAAATTAAGGGGCTCCCTCCAGTCTAACTCTCCCATTCACAGGAGCCAGTGGTGGCCCACTCTAAGCAAGTGCCTGGGGTTGTAACCACTGAAAACAGAGATGGGTACTCTTCTCTGCAGGCAGCTGTCCTATATCCACAAATCAATGTGTACAAGTACTGTTAATGTTTGTCTAAACTTTGTTCCCTCCTCACTGCTGTTATGATCCGCCTCAGAAAAGGGAGGGGTAACCCAGATTCTTATTAATAAATCCCTTGGGGTGGATTAGAGTGAAACGACACTGAATAATCGGTGTTTGGAAACATATATATGGAGGGTTTATTTTAGAACAACTTTGTTTCAAAGGTAAACAGGTATGTTATCATTTTGGGGTGTTATCCTCTATACCTATCATCTATAGCAATATGGCATAAAGATAACCTTTGGGGAAAATGCATAAGGGAGAGAAAGACAGGATAAGGGTAAGGGAGAGTAAGGGAAAAGATGAGACTGGAAAAATGTATATAGTCACCGCCCATGGGGTCCAGCGATGAAACTTCGTAGTTGCAGCTTCCATGTCTGTTAGTTGAAGTGGTGGCCTCAATCCCTTGGGGGTGAAGGAGGGAAACCGACACACTCCAAGAAGTTAAGAGTTATCATACCCATGGATAGTGTCACCGGCCATGCCACGAGCCTCCAGCATCTCCTGGGCCTGCTAAAAGGGTTTTTCCCGCCTTTCAGGATTGGCAGGGGGATGGGCTTTGATGGGCCATGCCATGAACCTCCAAAATCTCAGACAGCCCAGCTCAGAGTTCATGTGGAGGGCATGGTAAACACGGCTCTTCTCGCCTTTTCGGGGCTTGACACCTTCAGCAGCACTGAATGGGGAGATGGGCCCAGCTGCTCATCAGAGGTATAATGCAAAAGTCCTGCAAAAGCCTGCAAAAGTCTCCTGGCAATCCTAGAATGCATAAATCATTAACCATTTCAGTCTCTGACAACTGCCTGCAGAGTTCACAGAATCCCTTAAGGAATATGAGGAAACAAGCCATTAAAGCTAAGCTACTTAGCACCCCCTAAAAAATATGTACTGTTTCTATAAGTACGCATAAACCCCACAATAACTAAGCCATTAATCTTTAATAAAACTTTTTTTTTTTTTAAACCATATATCTGTTCCCTGGCAGGCAATATTACAGCTGCTCAGAGCTACCAAGACTGAACATTTTCTTTTCCAGTGCAGATGCTGTTGGCACTACTGGGCTGAAACCAAAAGATCTTCACAGCTGGATCAACGAGGTTCATGAATATTCATAGGCACTAAGGAATTTGGGCGGATTCCGGAAGTGACAGGACCCAATGCTGAATCTGAAGCTCTCCCAGGATTCTGCGTTGAAAACACAACTATTCAGATTGTTTTGTGCTCTAATGGGAGCACATTGGAGACTATGAAACAAACAAAGAAAGAAATCAGAGCTAAAATGCTGGTTTGTGTGATTAATTACCATGGATACAAACTAGCAAGTAGAAATAACTTCAGCCTCACTTCAATCCTCTTGGTTTAAAGCAAAATAGAACAATGGCACAACATTCAAAAGGAATCTTGCACTCACTCTGTTACTTGTGAGTCACTAGAACTTGAATCAATGCACTCCTTTAAGAGAAGACATTTCTGTGTGTTGGGGTTAGGGGTTTTTTGTTTGTTTGTTTGTTTTTACAGGCAGTTCAGGCACTAGACTTGTTGCATGCAAAAAAGGAGGAGGAAACACTTAAGGGCTTTAAAAATTTTATTTAATATAACATGATAGAGCAAGATCCCCTTTCTCAGTGAAAGGCAACCATAAAATGGCTAATTAAGGCCTTGAAAGAGCCTCAAGCTTTATTGTGCCTTCTCATTCCCGCTGAACTTTAAAGTATCTGGTCTAGAATTCTCTGAACAAACTGCTACACCACAAGAAAATCAAACGTCATTTGTCCTTTAGTCTTTCTACGTGTATCTACGACAGGTCAAAGTTATATCCATTTTTTTTTCCTGCCACAGTAGTAATTTTTAAGTTTTAATAATGAATGTTTAGCTGCTAGTGGTGGGCAGCAATGAAATGTAACAGAGCTGCATATCATACAGGCATACTTTCATTCTGATTTGAATTTAAGTAGTAAGTCTCAACAAAATCAAATCAATTGATAAGGTCATTCTTCAGTCTTCTCCAAAAGCATTCTGTTACTCACTAGCTTCCTTTTGCAAAGCCCCATGTTGTGATGAGTATGGAAATGACTACTGCAGCTTCCAGAACAGTGCAAAAAGTTAACCTGAACACCTGGTTCTGAAACTCGATTCTCAGTTCTCTCAGTCTACTTTACAAACAGCAGCTCATTCACTCTGTCTTAAGGACTTCAAGGTGAGTCCCTACCAGGCCACCTAGTACTGCCCAGAAACTTGAATCAGCCTCCTTTAGGTGAAGGTTTATTAATGGAGGAGTCCATTCCCGGGAGGCCTGTCCTTTTCCGGGCTGCAGTCTCTATTTTCCGTACCAAGTCCACATCCCACCGATGGGTGACAAAACTAACCACAGCTCCAGGTGCCTTGCTTCCAACTCGTCCAACTCTCCCCACACGATGCAGGTAGTCCTGCAGGGTGTCTGGGAAGTCATAGTTGACCACGAGCTGCACGCTGCTGGTGTCCAGACCCCGCGAGGCAAGGTCAGTGCAGACAAGGACAGACACATCACCCTTCTGGAAAGAGGCAAAGATGCCAGCTCTAGCAGCTGCTGACATCTGTCCCTGCAGCCTCAGGTGCCTGATTCTGTGGTCATCCAGGATATAGCCCAGCCAGTTGACAGTGCTGGCACTGTTGCAGAAGATGAGAACAGCCCCGCCAGATGACGGGTGCTCCTTTAACAGCTGCAGCAGCTCGGGCAGCTTGTCCCGGCCTTTGAGGCGGACGAACTTCTGCTGGACGTGAGGCGGCAGGCGGTGCAGGCTCTGGGTGGTGAGGGTGACAAACCGGCTCACGTCTGTGAACTTCGCCAGCGTCTCGCTGAGCCCCGCAGGGAAGGTGGCTCCGACCACCACCACCTGGGTCCTCTCCTCCTCCGGTCCGGACGGCCTGGGGGCTCCAGCGGCCAGCGGCGCGTGTGCCAGGATCTCCTCCAGCAGCTCCGTGAACGAGTCGTCCATCAGCGTGTCCGCCTCGTCCAGCACCATCCAGCGCAGCCTCGCCAGGGCCAGGAAGCGCCGGCGCAGCGCCTCCCGCAGCGCCCCGGGGGTGCCGAGCAGCACGGCGGGGCCCGGCGGCGGCGCCCGCAGCTGCCTGCGCAGCCCTCCCGCGGCCCCTCCGCCCGTGAGCCCGCGCACCGCCAGCCCCGCGGGCGCGCACAGCGCGGCCGCCACCGCGCCCACCTGCGCCGCCAGCTCCCGCGACGGCACCACCACCAGCCCGCGGGGCGCCGCCGGCCCTGCCGGCACCGCCGGCCCCTCGGGGCGGCCGAGCAGCCCGTCCAGCAGCGGCAGCAGGTACGCGAGGGTCTTCCCGCTGCCGGTCTCGGCGGCGCACAGGGCGCTACGGCCGCGGCGCAGCGCGGGGATGGCGAGGCGCTGCACGGCCGTGGGGCGGCCGATGGAGAGCCGCTCCAGCCCGGCCAGCAGCGCCGGCTGCAGCCCCAGCTCGGCGAAGGTCGGGCCCTGCCCCGCCTCGGCTGGTGGCGCCTGCAGCGCGGGAGCCGCCTCCTGCGAGGGCTCCAGCTGGAAGTAATCGCCGCACGCCTTCCTGTGCTTCCAGCCCGCTGACACCAGCGGTGGCTGCTCCCAGCGCCCCACTGTCTGCCAGCGGGGCTGGCTCAGCTCCGGCCGCCGGCTCCGCAGCAGCAGCTTCCCGGGACGCGCTGCTGTCGCCGCCTCCCCCTGCCCGCGCCGCCGGCGCTGCGCCCCTCGCTGCAGGCGCACCCGCAGGGCCCAGGGGATGCGCACCACGGCCCCGGGGGGCTCCGCGCCCGCCGCCGCCGCCCCGGTGCCCGCGGGCCGCCGCGGCAGCAGCAGCGGGAGCGCGGCCGCCGTCCCGCCCCGACCCAGCGCCATCGCGGCTCCCCCACGTGGGGCCGCGGCGCTGCCCGATGACGCCGTGGAAGAGCCGCTTCCCTCGGTGCTCCCCGCCCCGCGGAGCCGCGGCGGAGCCACGCCAGGAGGGTGAGTGCGGCTGGCGGCGGGGTCGGTTCGCCTTTTCCGCTGCCGGTTGAGAGCTGCCCCCGCGGGAGCAAACGCGGCCCTGGGGGGGCTGTGGCGGAGTCGGCCCGGCGCCCCTCGCTCGGGGGAAAGAGCTCGTGTGGCGGGAAGCATCTCCCGGTTCCGCTGGGCTCCCTCACGGCTGGGTGAGCGGCCGGACCGGCTGCCGAGGGGGCCCTGTCGGGTATGAGGGGGCACCCACTGCCCCTTCCCGCCAAAGGACAGATCTGGGCGTTTTGCCGGTAGGAAATCGACGTTCCATGGCTGTCCTCCTCGGCTTTCTCTTTCAGGTAGTACCGCAATAGGAATGACGGTGAACCCACCCCTGTGTTTTAGAGGAAAGAAGATCCTGGCTCCAATGGTGCGAGTGGGAACGTTGCCGATGCGTCTTCTTGCCCTGGACTATGGTGCTGATATCGTGTACTGTGAGGTATGGAGGATGAGCGGATGAGGCAGTCTTATCTGCTCAACATTATTATTAAGAAAAGAAAACTAGACTGTTTATTGTAGGACTTGTTCTTATTGCACATGTTTGTCCATTAAAAAAATTGGAGAAAGCAGAATCTCTGTGGCTTAAGGCATTTCTCTTTGAGAGTTCTCAAGTTATGGCAAATCTATATTTTAAGCCTATTCAATACTCTCATTTAGACAAAACACCATAAGAGTTTCCTCACATTGTACTGTTATTTGGGTTTTGTTGGGTTTTTTTTTAGTGTTTTTATTTTGATTTGTTTTGGAGTAGAGTCAGAACTTTGATACAAGTTTTAGACTGACCTTCTGTTTCACCTGATTAGTTTTGCACATCCATATATATCCCATCACAGCGCCGCTGTCCTTCTTGCTTAACCACTTTTCTCAAAGCTGGCTAAAATTGAGACTCCAGTTTACTGCAGATCCTGTTGGTAGGACTGCTGTGTAGCTTAAGGTACTTCCAGCCTAAACTGTTCTGTGATTCAATACTCTTACGTTCTTATGTTCTGTTAATATTTTGAAACTTCAGCATGTTGTATACTAAACTCTTGTTTTAATTTGCTTTCTTTTTCTATATTTGATCTCTCTAGATAATTAATTATTAAATGGGCAACTTTTTAGAGTTTGCTGGCTGAAACACTTCAACTTACTGAGATTTTTTTTATCCTTCCTTCTCAGGAGCTGATTGACATAAAGATGCTGCAGTGTAAGAGGGTTATAAATGGCAAGTATAGCATTTCTTTTGATAGTACCTGTAAGCAGTCTTTTTTCTAATCAAGAGAAATGATAGTTACTTCTCTGAAGTGTTTTTCTAGTGATTACAGTGATGTACCAGAACATACAATCTCTCTAAACTGTGTCTAGGGACTTAAAGTAAGCTTTTGAAGTGCTACCCTAGACCTGTCTGCTGCTCTACAGTTTCAAACTTTCAGTTTCCCTTCTAAAGGAATTTCAGTAGTTCATTTAGTGTCCCTCAGGAAAACCATAAACATTTTTGGAGGACATAGCTAATGTATTAGTAACAAGCAGTTTGTTATTCTTTTTAGAGTCCTAGCACAGGGTCCTTCTCCGCCATTGGCTTAGTTTATTAGAAGGATTCAGTGCATTTTCTGTTTGAACTTTTTGACAGGGTCAGGTCACTGGGTGTGCAAGTATTTGTCTTCTAAAATGGAGAGCTGTGATTTTACCTCCTGGAATGGTGTATTTCCCTTTTTCTTAAGAAAATTGGGATCAATGTTGGAAATCCATTTCTTATGTTTCAGCATTGTGCTTTCTGGCAGCAAGTGAAAGAAACTAGTAGCTGGAATAGACTAGACTTTAAAGTTCTAGTGCATTGTTTAAAATGTTAAAGCTTTCCATTTTATGTGGAAAGACAAAGACTAAAATTGTAATGAACAGATAAGCTTCCTAATCTTCCTCAATTCTGTATCTCCTTACTGGCTCCAGCCTCTCTACTGCCTTCATATGCTATTATAATGAAGAGTAAACAGTAAAAAACTCTAGGGGTTGTTTTTGTTGTTGTTTTGTGGTGTTTGCGTTTTTTTAAGGAAATTTTACATGTGTTTGTGCTAAAATAAAATCTAATTTCCTGAATAAAACTATTAATATTAGATACAAAGCCTTTTAATTTTTTTTTAAAGTTTGATAATGTCCAGGGAACAAATTTGTTTGGACAGTTTCCAATCATGAGTTTTTTTAAATATTAGCTGTTTGTGACATTATAATATACACACCTTCAAGTGTAATGCAATAAGGAAGCAACACATACAAAGTCTCACTGTTCATCATTTTTTTACTAACTTGAAGTCCATGGGGTAGACTTGGTTTAACATGATTGTCACCACAAGTTCTTAAAAGTCATATGTTGAGACCTCCCTGCCTGAGTGGCATAGAAACAGTTGTTTGCAGTGTCCTTGTTGGGGAACAGAAGTTCACTGCAAATCTACTCTCTCCTCCTGCCCCTTCCCAAAAATAATACTATTAGGTTTGTTCTGGGTGAGTCATCAGTGGACTTGTTCTGGTGCTGATGTCCAAGGCTGAGGGGTGATTAGGGAGCACTTTGGGAGGGAAACAGCAATGTGCAAGAAATGTACTGCAAGGACATATAGGAGGTAGGGTGCCATTAGTTCTGCTCTTCATGGAAGACTTCTTTGATAGCATTTCATTTATATACAAATTACATAGTCCTATGACTTTTTTTATGTTTACATTTGTATATAATTTTCGTCTGTTTTATCATTTCTCATTTCATGCAGAAGTACTTGAAACGGTGGACTTTGTTGCACCTAATGAAAGAGTTGTTTTCAGAACTTGTGAAAGGGAGAGGCAACGTGTCGTCTTTCAAATGGTAAGAAACCAACTGCAGGTACTCTGCTAACAACATGGTTAAACAAGGCAGTGCTAGTAACATGTTGATCTAAGTCTAAAGCCCTTCCCTGTATTGCAGACTGGCAATTTCTTGATGCTTCAGATGGAGGTAAACCTTCACACCAAATGTGTTGCAGAGTTTCTGATCTGTTGGTACATATCCAAGGAGATGCTACATTGTAAGCTCTCCTTACAGCTGTTTTCAGAAGAGGTGATGAAGATGAATTCTGTGCTCTGTGACAGCAGCTTGTTTTTGTAATAGGTATCTTTGATTTTTTTCCAAACATAGATGCCAAAAATAAATTATGTTTGATCACGTTTAAATCTTGTACTGTCCTTTGAAACAGTCTCACTGGAAAGGCTGAAAGAAATAGCACTGTTTAGTATAGATAAGAGAGGATTAATGTGTACTCTAGCATTGCACAAATGGATTAAAGGCTGCTGGAGAGAGAAGGATATTAATTTGCTCTTAGAGACCATTTTGTGTAGGACAGAAGATGATGGGATTGGAGGGAACGAGAAGTGTGGACTGTATTAGATGCTGAAAAGACCTTTTTCAGTGGTAATGGTAGCCCTGAAATCAGTTGCTGGAGGCTGTAGAATTGTTATTAGTGAAGCTTCTTAAGAACACGGAAAATAGATATCTTAGTGCTGATGGGCTAAGAACATTTTGATATTGTTGTAGGTAAAGGAGGTGGACAGACCTCTTAGAATCCTTTTTTTGCATTTTGTCATTCAGTGGCTGAGTCTAGTCCATGCTTTAGCTAAATATTTTAACTGTCCAGTGTGCTGTGAGTGAGTCTCTGTCTACACTAAATGTTAGAGCAAATATAGTTGTATACATGTGCAAGTGAGCACTTCCTTTTTTTAATTAATTTGTGATACTTTGTAATTATAAATCCTCTTGTTCTACCAACAGGGTTCAGCAGATGCTGAGAGAGCCCTGGCAGTAGCTAAGCTTGTGTAAGTTGTCCGTCTCATTTCCACCATGGGTTTATTTGGGATTTTTTGTTCAGAGGAATTATTGCGGAAGACAATTTTTTATGATTGAGAGGTTAAAAGTTGGTCTTCGTAGAATCAGGAAAAGTTCTGCAGGAGCTGCACAGTGAAGTGTAGCTTCTGAGAAGGCCAGTGGTATAACGATGTAACTGCAGCTTCTACTTAAAATAATTCTTGCTCAAAGCAGCAGCTGCATAAATTCTGTACTGGTATTGATGGCTTTTTGCTAGTGTGAGTGTGCCCTTGATCTCCCTAGCATGAAATTTCCCTGGGTATTGCACAGCTGCAAGTAAGATCAGTATGCCTAAAAATGTCTCCTACTGTTTGTGGTTTGAAGCCTCTGATAATGTATTGTGTAGAAATGAAAAGGGGCTCTCAAAAAGGTGTTTTGAAGCCTTAATTTTAAAAAGATGGAAGTTTCAATAGGACTTGCTTTAGCGACAGTGGTGGATTAGTGATGGATATACTTATATATAATATATATACTATATATACTTAATCATATATAAACATATTTAAGATGAGTACTTGCAGCTTCTGCACAGCACTGGTAATTGAAACCTATGGAAAGACTGATCTTCAGATCACTGCTAAAATGTATGTATGCAAGTTGTATGTATGCAAGTGAGAAGCTTAAAATTCAAAAATTCAAATAAGAAACACCTTAAGTTCTCATTTAAGCCTTAATGATGATGGAACAAGTTACCTGGGAAGATATCTATTTCCTGATTCTTGTTCTAATGTGCTGAAAAATATTTGTTTCCTTCTTCTCTTTCAGAGAGAGTGATGTGGCTGGTATTGATATCAACATGGGATGCCCAAAAGAATACTCTACTAAGGCAAGTGGATTTCGATTACTCTTAAATAAGCTTTTTCTTTCTTGGAGGTATGGAATACATTGTCTGTTAAAACAATAAATCTGTTCAGGTGTCACTTAATGAGAAGAAACCAGATGATTACAGTTGCTAAAAATAGCTTTTTGAAATCCTGTCTGCTCCATAAAGTAATGAGAGCAAATTGGTGCCCTGAATTACTGCTTAGTTTTTTCGATACAATTCTAGCAAATGTTGCACCAAAGTGTTCACAAATGCTCCTGTATTTTAGATTTTGCCACTTTTTCCGTCTTTTATTTCTCCCCCCCCCCTTTAATATAACATTACACTTTTGTGCTGGTCTGCTATTAGGCAGTTTAATTGAGTTGAAAAATGTGTTTGCCTAGTGTGTAACAATTTCTGTATATTTTCCCAGGGAGGTATGGGAGCAGCACTGCTATCTGATCCTGACAAAATAGAGTCTGTAAGTATCCCCTTGTGGCCTTTGAACTGCCTTGGAAAGTATTGTGCACTGTCCTCTACTGGAAGCAAGATTGAGTTGCATAGAAGACAAATTTTTTGGAGCCAATTTTTTTGAGGCCTATATGGTTTTCCATGAGTTAAGTAACGTGGGTGATACCATCCAGAATGAAAAGGTAATTTGTGAAGCATAAGGTGATGAAAGCTGAAAGAAAAAAAATTTCAGAGTGGGAATTGAGAGGAAAATATTGAGCAGGCTAGAACTAAATATTGCAAAAATATTTTTCACAGGAATGAGAGGCAGTTGTAAATATGATTGCTAACAGCTTCCCTTCCCCTCTACAACCATTACATTTTGTTCTGATCTTCAGAAGAGTGGGAAACTCGATGCTCAAAAATTTGGAATTGTTCTTTTCAATTGGAGGTGTTAATAGGCAGCAAAATCTTAGGCATTAAAATTACTCTTAGCAAACTGCAGAGGGATAACTAAACTCATAGCCTGCAAAAGACAACTGAAACCACAGCTCCAAATCAAGCTTACCATGTGATTAAAAGTTATTTGGTTCTCACATTGGAATCTTTAATGAGGCTGACACTGAAAACTTCTAAGATTTGCTTATGATGCTATTGTAAAAAAAATGTAGTGACAATGTTTGAAAATTATGTCATTTTAGTTTGATTTATATCCAAAAAATAGTACTTTAAAATACTAAAGAGTGGAGTTTTTTAGATCATTTTCTTGGATGCTGCTGTTTATTTTGAGAGAACACTACTGAGGAAAGGTTTGAGTAGGCAGTGCAAGGTGACAGAAATTACCAGCTGTTTTTAAGTACAAGAACTTGAGTGCAGCTATAACAGCTCATATCTGTGTTGGGAATCTAATAAGTGCAGTAACATTAAACAAAATTCAAGTTCATAGGATACACCATCCTGAAAGCATTTATTAGCAGTTCCATCCATTTTATGTAAGAATAACATGCATGATAATATCTGAGAAAAACGGTTGAAAAAGAAGTTTTTTTTCCCAATAACAGTCAGGATCAGCTGGCTTCCACTCCTTTATTTAGAGACCTATTGGACTTCTGATACTGGTTACTGTATAGTCATACAGTGATTTAAACGCGTATAGGCCATTACATGGCACTTTTAAGTAAGGTCTGTTGGACTTAAATTCAAGCTGTGAAAAGGAGGTTCTTTGCATAGCTTGGTTTTTAAATGATTAGACTAACAACCACTCATTTGCCTGATTGTTCCAAGTTTGTTGTAATGAATAAAATGTGCTTTGTATTAAGCATGGAATTCAGTTTGCTTTCCTTAAGAAGATACAATGGTGTTGCTTGATATTCCCCAAATTTTTTTTCCATTTTGAAGGCTTTCTTATTTTTAAATAAAAATCTCTTTTTAGGGAATACTTACATTTAGTTTTTATGAGAAACTGACAAGGAATATAAGATGATGGTGAAAACAGTTGCATGAAAATGAAAAGCCTTTGCACTTTATTTTGAAATTATTAGAGTTCACAGGTCAGCTCATACTAAAAGCAGTGTTGAAACTCCAGCAGCAATTAATTGCTCTGTAAATTGAAAAAAGTTGAAATAAAAAAAGAAATGGAAATAGAAATGGCTTAGACTAGAAATAGGTTTTTATATCTGTTGGATAAAATGATATGTTCAATTACAGATTGAATGTGTCTGTCTAGCATGTGAGATTTTTTTATAGAAGAATAGTAAATAGTGTTACATTGTTCTAATTTCTTTTATCTTCACGAGAGAAAGGAGGAAAGCTTTAGCAATGTCACTGTTGTGATCACATTTTTGTCTTTTTCTTCCTTTTTCCAGATATTGACTGCCCTTGTTAAAGGAGTTTGTAAACCAGTAACCTGCAAAATCCGCATTTTGCCCTCAGTAAGAACCTAAATCATTATGCCGAAGTATTAAGTTGTTGTTTATTTTGGTGATTTAATATCAGTTATAATATATGTGTTCTCGTATGTTGTCATTTTAGGCCTGTTGTTGTGAAATAGTGCTTGGAGTTATAATTTCTGTTTGGAATGCTGTCCCAGCCTAAAGGATTATCTGACCCACAAAATGTATGGAGACCGTGATTGTGGGCTTGTCAGATTCCATGATATGCAAGGACACAGAGGCTTTTATCCTCAAAACTTTTCAACTAAGTAATTTTTAAGTCATAGAGATACAGGAGAGTGTAGGACACCGCCTCTCGAGCAGCTAGTAGCTGCTGTTAATTCCTATTTTTCAGCCAGGGAAGCCAATAGATGATTATTTTCTGTTTTTTCAGACTAATTTTTTTTTCCAAACTGTTTTTCTGTTCTTGCAGTTAGAACAACCAATGGAGTTACAGATTCTTTCTTGTACAGGATGTTTTCCCCATTTTCCAGAGTTCTTTTACAGCTCATGTAGCTTCCTTACTGGATTTTTTTTTTTTTGCAGTTGAATTCCCTACATATTTTTAAACCTCCAAGGGATGATGGGCTTTCTCTTTTAATGGCTGATTATTTTGCCATTGTTTATTTTATTACCTGCCTAGATACTGCGATTGCATATGACCCAAATAGATACTTTGGTAGATGGGTGAACTGTACCTGAACCAGCTATAGTTCTGAAATCATTTACATGTGCACTTAAAAAGATTAGATGAACAACTGAAGCCTGTGGGAAAAGAATCAAAAACCCAGTCTAAGATCATTTTGCTTCTGAAGTACTGAAGTACTAAATCAGAGAACCTCTCCTTTTTATTTTCTACAACTATCCTAGAGCCTCTTCCTTTTTGTTTCAAGCTGTTTCTGCGTAACATGTTATCCATCAGAACAGCAGGTGAGCTTCTCTCTCTGTGTCCATGCCAGCTTGGAGATGTTACATTTTTCAAAAACTGAATCTGCTATTTTTGGGATGACCCGCAGATGTTTCTCCAGCTTTTGAAAAGAAAGTGTATCTTTTCTTCATTCTCCCTTTCCCCAGAGCTGCATAAGACAGGCTAATGCAGCAGTGTGCCACATTTCTTTCTGCCTTTTAAGAGTATCTTACCTCTTTGAAGATAGACTGGAAGCTTCCCCTTTTTCCCACTGGGTCCTTTGATTCATTGGTCATGTATGAATATAATTAGAATTTTTTAGATTCTGGTTAACATTTTTAAGACATATATATCTGAGAGGGATGTTTATAGATGTGTGATTACGTGTTATGTTGATTTCAGAATGTATCCTCTTACTGAAAAGCGTTTTAATTACAATTTACAGGGTAGTCATTAGAGAGGACTTGCTAATCAAATGTTCTATATCATTTTCAAATGACAGTCCGTAAACTTGCTGGAAAATATTCTTCTGCCACAGAGTATTATGTTACCTGATTTGAGAAAGTTTGCAATTTATGGTTTCAAGGAGGCATTGAAAATGGATTCTTATCTTTGGCGTAGTATGTAGTTCTTAAATTGAAGTATATATTAAATGGTTATGCATGTTGGGTGTTATTGATGAAATACAGGAATCACATCCCTCTTGAGGAAAGACTTCCAGCATTTGTCTGTACAATAATTGCATGATGGTTATTCCTTTTGCTTTGAATTAAAATCTTGTCATTCTGTCTTATCTCTCAGGTTGAAGATACTGTGAATCTGGTGAAGAGAATAGAAAAAACTGGTATTGCTGCTATTGCAGTCCATGGAAGGTAAATTGATTTTAGTCAAGAAATACTTAGATTTTTTAGTTTGTTGATGAACAGAGCACGGTATGATATGACCAGAGTATTCTCTACATGCTAGATGTAGTACATGGTTCTGATTTCAACCATTAACTGAATTGGTGTTGTAGAAAATCAGGCCACCAATTAGGGAATTGTACTGCTTGCTGCTGTTTTCTGAAAATTTTTGTCTCAAAGACCAAATAAAACTAAAATTATCTGCATACTCTGTATCTGAAAAATGCTGCTTATCTGGATATGGAATTACAGTAACAATGTCTTAAAATGTATTTGATAGGAAATAATTCTTTTGCATTTAAAGAAACAGCAGGAAATTATATCGAATATATGAAATAAATAAGTGGAAACAAATATATCCTAATACTCCTTGTGTCATGTCTGCTGTGATTTAGAGAGCTACAAATTCCACAGGAAATCTTTGGTCTTGTCTTTCTTTTGTTTGTTGGACAGGAATAAGGAGGAGAGGCCTCAGCACCCTGTCCACTGTGATGTGATCAAGGCCATATCTGAAGCCGTCTCCATTCCAGTAATAGCAAAGTAAGTTGGACAAATTAGCTCGTTATGTCCAGATGCCTGTACCTAACTTAAGATTTGCAGGTGCAGGAAAAAGATCCATGATTAATTAAAACAGTGTTGTTAATTTTTAGTGGAGGATCTCATGACTTCATCAAAGAATATATGGACATAGAGACCTTCCAGAAAGCAACGGCTGCCTCATCAGTAATGATAGCTCGTGCTGCCATGTGGAACCCGTCTATCTTCAGAAAAGAGGGGTTTTTCCCCTTGAAGGATGTCATGCAAGATTACCTTAAATATGTATGGGTTCTTTTAAGATCTTGTTGTTAAAATTGTTTAGAATTGTTAATCCAAATCTTCCTAGAGTGTCCTAACTCCTTGTCATTTCAAAGACTTAGTTTGGGGATACTTTAACTTAGTGCATATGACATGAGTCTTTCAAATCAACCACTGCTTTTTCTGTTTGACTTTGTTCAGAAAACAAAAGTTCAGAAATGTATTCAGTTTTTCCTGATCATTCTTTTCTTCTGTACCATGCTTTTTAGTCCTAGTTTCTTGGGAACATTTATGACATTTACAAGGCTATCTAAAAATGTCTAGAAATTTAAAAATATGTAGACCAGCTCTTTTGAAGTTACAGATGTACAAATTGAACAGATTATTATATATAGCATACAGTATTGAACAGAAAAGTGAAGGAATATGAAATAGTTTCTGCTAGATTCATTTTTAGAAATTAATTACTTTTCACAAATATTGTCAATAATTATTCACAGCAAGGACGCAAAGGGAATGATTTGCCAATAAAGTAATGCTGTATTGTAGTACTGTAGCTCCCTTAGCTGAGTCACCTGGTATATAAAGTTTTATCTGTTATTCAAAAGACACTATTTTAAGGATGTAATAGGAAATTAATCAGAAATCTGTAGCTTCGATCATGTCATTAATTCAAAATTATTTGGTTTTTAAAAATTCAAACTTGCCATTTACCAGTTACTTACTAAAATAACAGTGCATTTCTAGTTGGTGATGTAAACTGGTCAACTCTTTCTTCATGAGTATATGAATAAGTTGAATTTTTGTTCATGAAGTCATGCCAAAATAATCAGATATAGTCACATTCATAGTAGTGTTGAATATGTTAACAAGGAAACTGCATTGTGGTTTGCCTTTCAAAACTGATTTTGAAAGTTATCAAGAGACATAAGCAAAATATAAGATAAATTTGTTAGGCGTGTTTTTAAATACTTTGTGTCTCTCCTTCAGGCAGTGAGATACGATAATCACTATACCAACACAAAATACTGTTTGTGTCAGATGTTAAGAGAACAGTTGGAAACTGCTCAGGGTAAGAAGCTGCATGCTGCACAGTCCACACAGGAGATCTGGTAAGCTTGTGCTTCAAACACAGGAATTGTACTCTCTGTTAAACTTGCACATCACTTCTCTGTCTGTAGCACTGCCTGGCATTTCATACATTCAGAAGTTGCAAAAACCCCAAAAATGTACAAACAAAAAAAATCCAGTTAGTAAGATGTGAAATAACACAGTAAATTTTCCAGGTTTCCTTCATGCTCAGATGTTAAATCTTTAACCCTGAAATATTCAACTTATTTCAACTAAAATACTAATTTGATTGGTGCTTCATTGAGTGACAGGCATTTGTTCAATATTTACATTAACTGATCAAGAAAAGTTTCAGCATCCTCTAGTGTCAGTCTGGAGGTTAATAGTGTGGAGCTTGTCTCCTTCCAAGGATATTTATTTGTTTTAATTTTGCCTCTTGCATGTGGGGTTTTTAATGTTACTGGAATATTTACAGTGACATGTCTATTTTAAATGAACACTTAGAGATAAACTCAAAATAATGTATGAGGGTTGTCTGTATGGTACTTCAAGGTATTTCTTTTGTGCTGCTTTTCATACCTGGAATATATTAATGAATAATGACAGCTTTTTTGAGGAAATATAGTAGCTTTAATGAATCTTGTCATCCTGGACATCTGAAACAGTCTGGATGAAATTTCTCAAAGGGGGGGACAGAAAAAGAAGAAGGAAAACTTTGTGAGAAACCATAAAATTGGCATGGAATTAAAGAATTCACACAGAATTAGGGGAATTCAGGTTTGAAACCATCCCAAACTGAACAAAATAAAGGTCTGAGCTTGCATGTGTCATATCCCTGTAGTGTGATATAATTATACTTCTGATGGAATGGAGGGGAAGAGACTCCTTGTTCTTATAAACAGTCTGAAACTATTTGATATCTTACCTGTATGAAAATTGATAGAAATGTTGAAAGCTTGAAATATTTTGTAAACGAATTTATTGTTTTCTCGCAAACCCTAGTCAGCATTCTCTTCACGTTCAAAATTAGTGGAAATGACTGCGCTCTTTTTGCCAGTTTATTGCCTTTTACCAATTTTGGCTTTCTATAAATACTTCTGTCCGTGATTATTACATTTCAATGCAATGAAGGGAATTTGTATTTCATATATAAAAGGAGCTATCCTTCATTAGTCATAAAGGAGCAGTGGAATCCAGGAACAACTTTTAAACTTTGCAAGTTACTTTTCACTTTGGCAATGTAAAGAGTTGAAAACTTTTTAGTGTGGTAACACACTATCTATTTTGATTATAGATTTCCAATTTGAAAAAAAGACATATAATATAGGTTGAAACTGAAACAATCTTTTACAGCTTCACATAGTTCCTAGCCGACAGGGTGGTGCATGAACAGTAGTTCATAGTATGTAAAGAAAAGAAATTGTAGAGTGAGAGTCAAACCTTTAAACAGGTAATTAGAGGTGTCATAGTTTATACACATAGACACTGGATAGAGATCTAGTGTAAAACTTTTGGGTTTATGTGCTGTGCCTAACAATTCTTTAGGAGCTTCCAAAATTGAACTTTGTCAGTTTTTGTACATGTAAGGCAATACCAACTTCAAAGTTGGCTTAAGCAGTGTGCATGAGAGGGGGACAGAGAGAGACACTTGAAAATTTTTGAAACTGCTTTCTGTCAGCAGACTCGGTCCTTTAAGCCCTGTTCTGAATAGCCTGTTTCATGTCCAGGTAACTGAAGAACATTCTGTTACTTAAAATGCACCTCTGCATCTTCAGACAAAAATGGTACTCTCTCCTGGTGGTGAGGGCACGTTTCAGCCATGGGAGGTTTAACCTCAGTACTGAATGCAAGAGAACAGGGGTTGCATTTTGGACTAAACATTTACATACCAGTACATAATAAATTGCCTTCTCTTAGAAGTGTAAGTTAACATTGTTCAGCTTCTTTGCTTTTCCACTTGGAGCATTGGAGATGGCTTTGCGGCCAGCATTCATTTTGCCATTGAATGGCCCCGTACCAAAGAGGATTCTCATAACAGTCAGAAAGTAGTTTTTCTTGTGCTGCAGGTATTATTGCTGTTATTATCTGCAGAAAATTAATAGTCTCAGTTTTACAAAGTAGATCCAGCTTGCCCTGAATCTGAAATTTAAAAGGACTTGAGAATCCTACCTTTGACTCAAATCCTGATGGCTTCCTCCCTTATATTTACACTTGTGAATAATATTCTGATGCCAGAAAATCTGAGATTTTGAGGGGTTTGGATGTTATTGTGTTTATTGCTTACGGCATTTTTAAATACTATAATTAGAAAAAGCATCTCTTTCCTACTCCTTGCTCATATTGCCCTTGTGGAGCTGATCCACCAGCAGTCACACAGAGATGTTTTTTGCCAATTCATCCATCTGCAAGTTACTGATTGAGCTAATAACTTGAACATTGCAAGACCTGTATTTCCGACTGATTCTGCCTGGACTTTCAGGCTGCAAATTGCATATGTAGTGCTGGTATCACAACAGTGTCTGATAAGAGTTGAAAGAGAAACTATATGATGTCACTGTGCAGAATATAGCCACGCTTTCATTTGATTCTCCATACACATATGCTCTCTTTAATCACAATTGATTTTGTATTTATTTTTCTCTACCATAATGTGATACAAAAATTCATAAACTGATCTCTAATATGAAGGAATTCTGTTTGAATAGTGAAGTCTTTGAAATGGGTGACTTCTATGAAGAAACAACAGCTATTTTTGAAGCAAAGAAAATGTCTTTAGAAACTGAGACACAAGATGAAGATGACCAAGTAGACGATCCAGATGTAATAAAAATGGCTGTTAGATTTGACAAGTAAGCACACAAATTAAGTTTTTCACTATCTTGCATCTGTGAGTAGCAACTGTGAGTTTGACAGTGCCTGACAGTTTTTGAAAATAATTACTTGTAAAACAGCACTTACCGAGTGAGTTTTTATGAGGCAGTATGTGTACAGCATTACATAATCATCACTCTTCCTGTGCAATTTGTCTGTTGTAAGATGTTCTTTAGTTCCAGGCTTTCTGTTACTTGAGTTATCTAATGAGGAAGCAGCATTTTTCTCATAATTCGAACTGTAAAGTTAAACCTCAAATAACTGGTAGAAGTAATATAATAAGCAGCACTGTCTGTTTTAAAATAGAACTTTTTGCACAGTTGTTGACCACAAATTTTTCTGTCTAGGCGAGAATATCCACCACAGATTACTCCAAAAATGTATCTTCTGGAATGGTGTAGGAAAGAAAAGCATCCTCAGCCTGTTTATGAAACTGTGAGTCAATGAAGAAACTCTTTCAAAAGTCCCTCTGCCGTGTCTATGAAATTAGGTATTTTAGGACTCCAGGTAGTGAGGAAATTCTGCTTCCCAGTCTGGCATAGCTCTTTGAGGAAGCAGCTTCAGAGATGTTAACATTCATAGGTATGAAAATAGTAGCTTATTTTATTAGAAAATAAAAAATTAAAAGTCAGACCTTCCATCTGGTTTTGATTCACGTGTGAAAGAAGTTGCTGTAACTACAGGTCATTATATAGAAGCCCGTGACTGACTTTCTTTTACTACTTCTGTGAAGTAAAGAATTTAGACTTGGAATGTTTTCTCTGTTGTTGCACATGGTTATGGGTAGGAACTGTATGGGACAGGAGCAACTTTTTTGTTAGATGGGGGCATTATTTGATTATTTTTTATTTTTGCAAAGCAAAATATTTGCAGTTTGGACAATTTCTGCTTATATTTTACTGTTAAATATGTAAGGTTAAATTTGTGGTGTGAATTACAGTAATTTTAAAGCTGTTACTTGTTGTTCTTGTCTCTACACTTACCAAAGAATCTTGATGATGTTGTTTCTTCTGTAAATGACATGACTGCTTTTTGATATCCCCCTCCCTTTTAATTTTTTTTTCCCACAGGTTCAAAGACCATTGGATAGATTATTCTGTTCAGTAGTGACAGTAGCTGAGCGAAAATACCGATCAACTCTATGGTAAGCTGTCCTTAATGGTTTTTCCAGCTGGATTTTTGTTTCTGAAATGTTGCTTAAAATACTTGCAATATTAAAAAACTTGCAATAAAAGGGCACTCCGGTCTATTCCAGTTGACTGATATAGATCAACTAAAAACTGCGTTCTAAAGCTACCTCTAGGGGGGAGAAAGGTTTAAAAATGTCTGAGAATTGACTGTGACAAGAGGAAGTAAGTGTTAGTGTAATCAAGTAAATGGTTTTAATTCACTTTGTGTGTTAGTCCACAAGTTCTATTGGAAGGGGTGCAAATAGGCGACACAGTTCAGTTCTGTATGTGTTGAGTTCAGAAACTAACCAAAGGAGGCAGAGGGGAATGTTTAGGGGGGAGTGTCTTCAGCCACCACATTCCCAAAAAGAAATCAGGATTAAGTGTCTACACATGTGAAGGAGAGGACAGTGCAGTGGCTTCTCGGGGATCACAGTTCATTAGCAGTTACATCCAGGGCTGGTCTAATGTTTCACAACGCTATCTTGTACAATCATCCATTAATACTGGAGTTGACTTGAGGTATTTACACCTAAGGTGATCTTGATTTAACTGCGCATTGAACATTTTAAAGACGACAAATGCACACAACAATTGCTGCCTTGCAATCTTTCTGTTCAGAGACTTTAGGAAGTTAAGCTCAGCTGACATGAAACTTGGAGAAGAAAATGTTTTCAAATACTGAATCTCACAAATGGGTGATCTGCAGTACCTCCCAGAAATGATAGAATTTTTATTATTACAGGACAGTTCCTACTTTTGTCAGTGTCAATGAACTTGTTCGCCTGCCAGAGTATATTTAAGCCTGAGTCTCTTTCAAGAAAAGTGATCCTTCATAACTCAGTTAGTTTTGTTTAGTGATCAGATTTGTAAAAGTTAACTTTCTGAGGATTGCGACCACTTAGGCCAAACACATGTTGACTTTGTACCTTTGAAATGAAGAGTGTTTGAGGCACAAGACCTGATAGAAACAGATTTTCAAGGAATATTACATCAGGAGTGATGCATCAACATTTGACACCTAGCAAGATTCAAATAATTTCTGGAACTGACCTATTTTGTTCTTCTGCTATGAGATGACTACAAATGCTCTTTGTTTATGATGTTGCATCAGAGACAGGAAATTCTCTTGGCAGTGTAGAGACTTCAGTTTCTTCTTTTACCTATGCTCTGTCTGCTTGCTCTTCAGGGACAAGTCCAAGAAACTAGCAGAACAGGCTGCAGCTATTGTCTGTCTGAGAACATTGGGTGTCCCAGAGGGAAAGCTGTGTGAGGGAGAAAATCACCTGATTAACAAACGCAAGAGGGAAGACCAGGAGCGCTTGACTAATAAAGACCATGGAGAAGATCTTGCTGAACCTTCCCATAAAAAAGCTAATTTTATTGAAGAAACTTCTGACAGGAACGTGCCTAAGATGCCACGATAGCATGGAAATTAGAGGTTTCATGCCTATGCAGCTACAAATTAGCTCTTCTTTGTATATCTTGTTGTTCACATTTCATTTGGATTCTCTCAGAGACAGATAAACTCCTCAGGTATGAAAAATGCCAATGGGATGTTTACTGTTCACCACTCACTATGTCCCTATGGTGCCTTTCAAACAGGATAAATTAGGAACTTGATTTTAAAGAACATGGAGAAGACTATCCCTATTAATAAATTTTTTTCAAATATCAGGTATTTTCAAAGCAATTTTGTCATTGGTTTTATTACTTGTTTTTAAGAAGTCTATGGTGTGCTGGTAAGTGATGTATTAATATATCATCTATAAGCAGATGGATTCCTTATGCAACTATGTAGTTAGAAAAATTAATGTAGAAAAATAATGAGTTTTATGCATACCTTGCAAGCTTGTTTACGCCCATCAGGTATCAAGAAAAAGTTTTTGCAGAGAGAAGGACTTAACAATTGTAACACTAAGCATTAAAATAACATTCTTCTTTCATAGTTTCAACTACATTTTTCTCTTCAGAAACATGACAATAGAATTAACCATCCTTTCCTGGCCTTAGGTATTACAATTATGCCTTTCCAGTGGGAATTGAAGCTAGCCTGGTAGCCATGAATTTGTTGAATGAAGGCACTTTCAGATGTTTTATTCTTTTGAACTTGAAAGTCCTTGTAAATGTCTGCAAGTATATTACTTGCAATAATGGGAATCCAAATATGGCCTTGTATGTTCCTGACATGTGACCTCGTTTGTCTCAGTAATTACCTGTTGGTGATACTGGTGGTCTCAATCAAAGATATGTGTTCTCTTCTTCATTTTCCATCATCAAAACTTCCTGTTAAAGTAAACTATAAGTACATGCCATATGCCAAGAGAGGATACAGACCCAGTCTGGTTCACGGCAATCCAGCTGAGCTTGTCTAATTTTAATTAGAGTTCTGAATCCCTAAAAGAATGCCGAAAGAATTCAGGGATTTCATTTACTAACAGTTTATTGAAACAGTGGTTTAATTTCCCTTAACAGCATGAGGGATCGTGAGATTATCAGTTCTGGTCTGAAAACAAAATGACAGGAATATATCATGCCATGATCTCTAAAGTACTTTGTGTAAAAATGTACAAAATATAATTCATTTGGATGTTGTTCAGAAAAACTCTTCCTATATAAAATTTTGAATCTTTTCCTCAATCTTTTCCACACTAGCAAGTGATAGTGCTGACACTAAACCATTCTTTGAAAAAGGAAGAACAGTATCTCACCAGTTCAGAGCTGTGAAATTAAAAATTGTGTATTCAGAGATAAAATGTCTGCTGTTCACATCAGAGTAATTTATAGTAAATATATGCAGTCTAAGAAGAAAGTTTTTCATGTTCATTTTGGACATTGCAGTAAGTGCAGTTAAATACACTTACATTTGATATAACTTAAGCGCTACTCCAAACAGCAAAAGAATTTGCAGTATTAATCAGAAATTTCAGAAGTAGCAATTTTCCTATTTTGAGTTCTATCTGGGTATCTTGTTTTTGTCAGAACTGTTTGGGGCCATCAAAATAGAGAAAAAGTTGTTGTTAGGTCCTGTTAGCAGTGTGGCTTGCAAGGTCTAATCTAATAGAATCATAGAATGTTTGGGTGTAGAAAGGACCTCTGAAGATCATCTGGTCCAAACCCCGTGCTCAAAGAAGAGTGAACTGGAGCAAGTTTCCCAGGACTGTGTCTAACTGGGTTTCATGCATTTTCCAGGACTCAAATTCCACAACCTCTCTTGGCAACCTGTTGTGGTATTTGAGCACCCTTATTATAAAAGTGGGGGTTCTTTTTCTTCTTCTGCATAGAATATCCTTTATTTCCATTTGTGCCCACTGCCTCTTGTCCTGTCACTTAGAAGAATCTGGCTTTGTATCTTGTCATCATTGGCTGTCTAAAATGAAAATTGAATCTTCAGATATTATAGGTGATGGTGTCTAAATACAGTGTAGACTTGTATGGCAGCAATTACTATGGATAGGTGGAAGTTACAATGGACTGGGAGCCAAGGCCCTCATAACAATACTTGTACCTTTTTTTTCTCCTCATATTTTGTCACATGATGCAAATACTCATCCTTCTGCCTCCTTAGTGAGGTACAGCCTACGTAGACTTTTTGTATTGTTTCCTTCCAGCGACTTAATGCAATTCAGAGCCAGGTGTTCCAGTGGTGCTTGAGAATGTGGAAATCTTTGGTTTATTTGAACTGAGCAGATTTCTGCAGCATGCTGTCAAAAATTCACATGGAACTGTAGCTGAAGTTTGATACCTAAACAAAGGTATGAGTACCCAGCATGTAGGTGCTTTACCAGCAAACCATGGTTTGGTCGATGGAGAGAGCTGGATAACACTGGCTACGTAGTTCACAATGAGCTGAAACAAATGCTGTGTTAACACAAGTCTGCAAAGTGTATATATTGTATTTATATTAAATCAAATGGGTGCTAAAATCTGAGAGGATGTTTCTGTTTTCTAATAAGTGCATGTTTTCAAATCCTTCCTGAAATTATTACGTGGTTGCCAATGTGTAGCTGCACTGGTTGTACACATTAATGGAGTTGTCTGTGCTGTAGTTATGGATAGGACAAACAGAGCCTGTAGAAGTGAGAATGAAGAGTCACTGTTGGGATGAGCTTTCAATGCTAAATATAAAAGGACTGTAAATTCTGGCAAGTGGCTAGAAAGCATAACATGCTTGACACTCTTTATGGGTCTCAAAAAGAACCAAAGAAAAGTTGCAATTGTGTATATGTCTATGTGCGTGTCAGAACGTTGTGATTTAATGACTTTCTGTTACATACTTCCATTCCTCTTAAATCTGTTACAACTAATGTGTGATGACTTATCCTACTTCGATCATTCAATTCACCCTAACCAGATAGAATAATTGTATTTATCATGTATGTTCCCTTTTCAGCACTGATTTTAAAGTAATTACTTCAGAGACCAGTGCTTTTCTTCTAGAAATTGTTCTATTCACATTACTTTTAAAGAGCAAACAACACTGGTGACTCTGTATTAGTTTCTCCCGTGCTTCTCTTCTCTGCTGTACTTACCATAAACAGAAGGTGGCAGGGTTTTTTTTCTTCCCAAAAATATGCTGACTTCTGCAGTATTTAGTGATCCAGCCATTGCACTTCTGCATTCTTGCATAGGGTGGCAATTGAGACCACAGTTGGGTTGGAGGATATTTAGCCTCACTTTTCAGAATTTTTTTCTCGGTTTTAATGTGGTGTGAATATGGTACTTGGTCAATACTGATCAGAGCTGTGCTCTATTTTAAGTATTTGCTTAGTGAAAACGTTTCACTGTTAATCATGTGGAACTCAGTGACGCAATTGGTTTCTTCTGTCCCAGGGCTACTGTCAGTGAACAAAAAAGCAGTTTTATTTTTTACTTGATACTGATGCTGCAGAAAGTATTTGTAATGATACCTGCCAAAGTATGGTCTGTGGCTGTTGGCAGAACTGTAGCTTGTCCTCCCTTTAGCCTACATGTACTCTGATTACTAGAAACCTGAATGGGAAAGCAGAGATATGTTTACCAGCCTTTAGCGTGGATGCACTCACTGTGGGGCTACCTCCAGGGCCTTGCTGGTTGGAATGCTTTTTGGAATGTCCTGGGCTCTGAGCCCAACCCCGCCCTGGAATGTGAGGTTAAATGTTGGCGGTTCAAATACAGAGTTTGAATATCAAAATCCTAGAGTTCCCCAGTACTGCAGTTTCAGAAACTGGCAAGTGAACCACATGTCAGCTCAGCTGCTCGCTGATTCAAAGGATGAGCATGCCTTGGGCTGCTGGGGAAGGAGGGGGAGGTAGGACGTTGTTTGGTTTGGTTTGGTTTTTACTTGCCCGTTATGACCCGCAGAAAACATTCTTTTCGAACATGTCAACTGGCAAGATTGCAAGAGGTCCCAAACAGGTGTTAGCTAGAAAGAAATCTTAATTCACAAAAGCATTTTATTGCTACTTCTTTAATCAAACCTAGGAGCTCTGCATAATGGGAACTGTTGCTTTATTAAACAGGAATCTGCTTATATTTGGACTCTGAGTCAAGATGTGATGTCAGTGAGATGGCCTGTCAGGCTTAAGTTCCATCTGTATCACAGTGCAGGAGGCCAATGTTTGAGGCTTTTATTCAGAGTTGCTGATGACAAAGCTGATGAAAAACATTAAAAGCTAAACATGAAAAGTAAGTCTTTGGTGAGGAGGGAGTGCCTTGTGTATTGTTAAACAACAGTTGCCTAGGTCAGTTAAGGAGAAGAATTGCTGAGCTCCAGAGGGAGTCTAGTTCAGTCATCCGTGCTCAAAGGAGCACTAACCTCAGTGGCTTTTATGAGAGAGGCTTAAAAATATACATCACTTGTGGTGTTCACTTAGCTCCCACATGAAACTGTTGCAGGAGTTAATGTGAATCTGCTGTTAAATATCTATTAGTTAAATAAATAAATACTTTTCCCTTGCCCTGGCATGGTGGAAGAGTCTCTGTTTTTCATTTTTAGAAAATTATTGTCTGAGAGAGATCCTCTTGTGAGAGTTTACAGAGTAAAGAGAGAGTTTACAGAGTTTAGAGAGTAGTACAAATCTGACACTTTACTCATTTCAACTTAATTTTCCTTGATAAGCTCCATACATTTTTTAATGCTTATGTTATTGTGAAAAACGAAATTAATATAATCTATGTATAAGTGTGAACATGGATTTTTTGGTTAGTATTCTATTGCATAGACCTGACAGAACTGGATTTGAATACAGATCTTCAACTTTTTAGCTATTTTTGAACTATATAAACATGCTACCTTTCCTAGTCCTGTTTTCCATTGCTTTGCAAACTTATCTATGCAGTGTTAGGCTGCTGCATGTGCCATGCATGCCTGTGTACTTGCCACTGGCTGTGCACAGGTGTCAGCAGGGATTGTTAGCAGTTGGTCAGAGAGCTTTATGTCAGACTTCTTAAACAGAAACTGATAAAGTGGTTTCCCTCATTGTGGTCTCAGAAAAGTGAGAGTTAAGATATTAAAGATATAAAGATATTAAAATGAAGCTAGTACATTTTTACCTTTTTTAATTTCCAGTGTTGGAAAATATTATCTTTCTGAGGTAAAAATAAAAAATCAGGCTCTAATCATATTTTGTTGGGAAGCTTCTTGGTGACTTACATGATTTGATTCAGTGTATGCTCATTTACTTAGAAAATTAACTACTACATTTTTCTTTAAGTTTCTCTGGTAGCAGAAACTTTTTTGTTGTTGTAGTTTACTGTTTTATTAGCTCTCTGAATCGTTATAAAATTTAAGGTGAATTTCCTGGCCATCTGTGTATCTGTTCTAGTTACATACTCATATAGAAATCCCAGGCAACAAAAAATTTAATAGCTGAAACCATTGTCATTGTTTTCTTCTGTGCCGAAATAGAGCCAAATCCTGAACACCAGGCAGAACATAAGTAAACATGTCTAAGAAGTGGTACCTATATGAACCACAAAACCCATGAGATCTGAAGAGTGTTAAAAACACCATGAGACAGTTCCACTCAAGCAGAAGTATGCATTTATTTCCCCTGTATGGCATACAAAAGGGGTTTTTGTAAGGATTTGGTTTTTTTTCAGAAGTTAATTGAACATTAGGTGTTCAGATCCTTAGGTGGGAATGAATGGAAGATGGAGTGTTCACAAGGGCATCAGAATGATATGATCTCAGAGAGGTGGAATATTGGGACTGCAGGATTAAGCCAGTAAATCACTGTACAATTAGTTACAGATGTCTACCTATCATATAAGTGGCATGGTAATTCTAGTTTACTGTGTTGTCCTGTGACATTCTCTTATTATACAACTAATAGCAGTTTTCATATTTTGCTCTGCCTGAACATGGAAAACAGTTGTAGTTCTTAGAAAGTTTATAGCCTCTAGGCTACAGAAATATTGCATTGTGAATACTGAATTAATAGTGATTTAATAAATTACCTTCTCTCCCATTAAGTTTTATCAGCATGGCAAATGTTGCAGTGTAGGCTGTAAAATCAGTTTGCTCACTAGTATGGGTGACGTGCAAGACTAGGCAGCATGACTTGAGAGTGTGCACGTCCTGTAATGACAGCAATACTGGGTTAAGGGATAAATAGAGAGGAAAAAAAAACAAAACTAGTCACTAATGTCTTCCTGTACAGTAGTACTGGCACAGCACTTTACCTGTAGATTCAGCATTTACCCATTTTCGTGTTATATTCAGTATTTTAACTCTTGGGAGTCTGTAGGAGGATTCTCAATTCTTTGTTGGAGACAAAATGTGTAACACAGCATTTATTTAAAATGATGCCTTATGCCACGGAAGCAAACACAGCTCAAAGTATGACAGGGGATAGAGTTTCCATTTAATTTTGTAGAGAAACTTGCTGAAGACAAACAGATTTGATCCACCTCCACTTTGTAATTTTCTTCATACTTCTTAATTTAAAAAAAAAAGGTAATTTAGATGAAGAGGAGATTTTACAGAAAGGGTTGATGTATTGTCATGAAAGGAAGAGCTAACCTCATCCTGTTAGAAAACATCTCACATCTTCACCTGTCACTGCCTCATTCCCATTGTGTACTATTTTCCTCTCAGCCCAGCCTGTGAATTCACTGGATCACCTGTTCAGAGAGAACATTTCACCCTCACAGTTCACTCTTCTCACTTCCCCTGTACTTTAGAACCCCACATGCCCACTGTCATTGTACTGACATGGATCCTAAACTCACAGAAAACAGCTAACTCTTATTTCTTCTTGCATTGCTCTAGCAGTCTGCACTCACAATAATACCTATGCAGATAGTAAGGATGTTTTAAATAAAGTAGAATGAGCTGCTGGGTACATTCCAGTTCTTAGCATGAAACATCCTGTTGACAACCTCAGCACAAACACCAGTGGCAGAAAAAGAAAAGGGCAATTAAAATACTTTTTAGTCCTTTCAAGTACAGTATCTCCAGATCAAGACTCAGGGTCAGTGAGAAGGGCATCTGTGGAGTTCGTACTGTTACTGTTTGTGATGTAGCTGATCTCCTAAAATAATGTAATAATTTTCATTCTTTGACATTTCTATGCAAATTAGCACAGAAATTAATGTGATGAGAAGGTCCCGACCAATACATGCAGTTATCTGTTATGCTTCCTTGTGATTGCAGAAATGGAACTGGGAAATGTCTGGCATATTTCTATCCAGTATACTTCCCATTTATTGACTGCTCGGTATTTTGCAGACAAGTTGATAAGTTTTGCATAACTATTAAATTTATTCTGTTAATTTGTATAGATTATTTAATGAACAATATACAGTACTGAGCTCTGTCAACAACTTGAAATACACCCCCAGTGCATGGTGAACTGCTGTAGTTTAACATAAAACTAGCATCAAGAGGATCTTCCTTGATAAGTGAGGAAGTGGCATGATCTGTCATTAGTTTCCTTCTAACGAGAAACAGGTATCTTCAACCACATCTTTAGACTCCCACGCCACTGTGGAGATCAAGATGTTAAGCTTGGTTTATTTTAAAGGTCATCCTATAAGATCTCACACACAATTTCTAAGCTATAAACAAAACATAACTCCACAAAAGGAAAATGCAGATTATCAAAAGTGAGTGAAACTCAACACAGTGTCTAAAAATAGATTCTGGCATTACACTTCTGACTCAAAACCATCAGCAGTTATGCACAGGTTTGGGGTTTTTTGGTTGATATGGATGAAATTCAGGTCTATGTGGAATATAATTTTATTATCTGTATTGTAGCAAAATCCAAAATAGGCCAAGTGTTAAGATTGTATGGAGCATCTGCTATGAAGAATTTACCATCTAAGAGAACAAAGCTGAACAGTAGAACAGACAGGATATAACCATACAAAGGGTGAAAGGCAGGGAGGAGCACAAAGCTGACTGACCCATTTTTCACAAGAATAGAGGAGAACTGGAGTACATATTTTTATGCTTTTTGTGCTCTCTGTAACAGATAAGGATGGATGTGGTAAAGGAGGAGGAAGCTCAAAGTGGATTCGTGTTATAATCAAGACATGAGAGAAAGAAAAACTTTATGCAAAGCAGCTTAAAGAATGTGTTGTGGATGAACTGGTGAGACGAAAGTTAAAATGGTCAGGGATCTGGAATTGGTGTTACATAAAGGAATATAAATGTCAGAGTAAATGATTTACTGTCTCCTTGGGTGCTTTTATTGGTGATTTAGATATGGTTCTGAGATCCTGGATGATGTCCTGGATTCAGATCTGCCCACTACAAATATGGGAAGTAGCAATATACTTTCTTAGATGTGATTGTTGACAGGAGATTTTTTAAAATGAAGATCAGTGTTGTTTCAAGTTTTCACTAGTTGACTATGAAGCTTTAGACTGAATTACTTATAAAGGATGAAATGCTGATTGAATTAGATGGATTAAAGTAACATACTTTGGGTCTAAGTTCTCACAAACCTAAAAGCTATTCAGTCAAGGAATTTTGCCTCAAGCTCTTTTCTGTTTGAAATTTTTAATTTCTGTGCCTAAGAAGGGGCTGATATCCAGTACTTCATGGTGACTGCATGAAATTTTTCATGCAATGTATTATATGTAATTGAGATGGGATGTGAACTGAAGAATGCTGAAAAGGGGTATCGAATGACCATCAGTTAAGGAAGTTGCTGCCTGTCCTTGAGTCTCATCAGTGTATTGGAATGACACTGTGTTCAAACTATGTTGTCAGTATATTCTTGGCACTAATTATTCTTGAAACAAATAACACACATTTCTCAGAGACATGCAAAGCTACTGAATAAACTACTATAGCATTGAATTCAAACATGTTAAATGCTTGCTTTCTTGAAAGCAGTAGTGTGGAGATAACTAAGGCAAGGGACTGTGAAAGCTGACTTGATGTCTATTCTGAGCTCTTTCATTGAGCTATTCTCACTCACCAGTAATTTCACCCCATTACAATTCCAGATCCTCTGTTAGCATAGACACCAGTGTGTGTTTTCAAGGCTCACATGATACCTGTGGTTCCAACCAAGGAATCAAGTCGTTGCCTCCTGCTTCTTGTTGCAATTTCTTTCACTTGTTGCCTCCTCCCTTTTGCCAGCACAGACACTTGTTTGTGGTTGCTTTTATTTTTCAGCTGAATCAATTCCCTGATGTGATTCACTCTGGTACCACAAAAGTGTTAGTGATGGCACAACAGCAAAGATGGCACCTTGGTGAGAAAGAGTACCTGGGAACTGAAAGCACCTAAGGAGTGAAAATAGGAACTGCTTCAGTCAATATTTATCACCTAGGAAAGGTCAGTACAGCCACAGCCTCATTAGTTTCAGGCCCAGAGAAGTACTTCCTGGCAGCCTAACCTTTGCATTTATGGATCTTGTTTATGGGCAGGGTTCATATTAGTCAAATGAGACTTTTAATTTTTTGCATTAAATTGTCCATACAAATGATGAGAATCATGGCAACAGAACCCTCCTGAACAAGAATACGGTACCTTGGGACACAGTTTGCTTTGTAAGTTCTGTGATTTCTGGGAGCAGCCAAGACAAATGGTATTTCCCTGTAACTGAAGTTGTATTGTTAAAATACCAGTTACAATGACTGTCTACTGGCAGAACAGCCGGACCGAAACAGATCTTGGAGCTGGCTAAACTTCTCAAGTATTTAATTCACTTTTGTAGAACATCATGTACCCCTGCAATGAAATCTGTGCTGCAAGGGTTCTGCTAACAACAGCTGATACAGCTGCTTTACAGCTAGGCTGGCTGTGCTTGCATGAGCTCTAAAAATGCCTACAGCGTACATCCACTCTCAGTCACGGGGAATTGGTGGGCCAGTATCTGCATTACTGAATGGTAAAATAGTTCTAATCCAGGTGGACTACCCATTGATTTTGGTGCATATGGCAGCAATGCGAGTTTGTGACAGAAATCTCTGTTTCTGAGCCTAGGTTGTGTTTTTAGAGAAGACCGTTCTCTTTTAAACCCTAGGCATTTTACTGCTTCTTGCTAGTTCTCAATAGGGATCATGGCAGCTGATAAACAATTCAGTTAAGGGTAGAATCTAAAATTAAATACCTTGTTTTACCTCTTTTGTCCTCCCACTATAGTTTCCTGAAAACAAAGCATTTTGAAATAATTATTGAAACTACAGCCCACTTGTAAATGTTTGTCTAGAAAATTAATGCTCTGAAAAAAGTTTAGATTAGTGCCTGCATAGGCTGAAGTCCTCTGTCTATGGTTCAGATACACTGTGGTCAAGTCAAGTTTACAAGTGTGTCTTGTGAAGTCCATTCTACAAAAGTACCCTGGACCTCCTGCCCCTGCATCTCACTCTCAGTTCTGCAAGTGCAACTGTGTGTACAGTCCTTTGGCTACCTAGCCCAGGGAACTGATGCAGAGTAAAAACAAGCCTGCAAGATAGAGTGGTTTTGTTAGGTGGAATTTTTTGATAACCAAGGGCCACTGCTGCCAAGAGAACCACTCATGAACCACTTTTATTCTCATCTAGGATGCCTTTGAACCAGGTTATATAGTTCCTGTGCTATCCAGGGCCCCACAGTTCATTACCAGATGCTTTGGACAATGTCTCCCTCTAAAATGAGAGATGAAAACAGATACCTTTTCAACACAGAAGTGGTGGCTGTAAGTATTTAAAGGATAGATATTGGCAACTACAAATGAGCTGAAATTGAAGCTAAGTGGATTCTTGCATGTCTAACAGACAAACAGCATTCCTGTACAAAGTGAGTCGTCTTTCCTGGCAGTAAGGCACTCAGTTGTTTCTTGACTGTGTAACAGATGCTGTGCCTCTTCTCTATGCATGTAAGATAACAGCATTTAATATTTGGAGGAAAGTTGCTCTGCAACAAAGAAAATTTGTGCCAATTCAAAATGTGGAAAAGAGATCAAATAGATTTCATCTTGCAGCAGTTTCTGAGTTAACTGGTTCTAATTGTAAGAGATTATTTTTAAAATAGAACTGCCGGAGGCTAAACTTTGCAGATCATTAAAATATAAATACATTTTTCCAAATGGTCATCAGTTCCTCTCTTTAAAGAAACTGCTATACAGTTTCTAGGGTTTCCTAGTGAGATTTCACTCCTTTCTTCTAAATTATGGTATTCATTCACTTTGTATCAGGGTATTAATAGCCATCTCACTCTCAGTGAGAACCTTGTCAAGTCCTAGAGTAACAGGAGCCAACAAAAAGGAGCATTTTTCTTTCATTCCTTTCCTATGGTTCTCTGATAATTTGCCACAAAAAGCAGATTATTTTGACAGAACCAGGTTAAGGAGTGGTTCTGTGTGTATTCAGGCTGGCAAATCTGAGAGGACTGGCAAACACAGGCAGTTTGAAGGAGTTCATCTCTTAATACAGATCAGCTGCACATGTCTGACCATGTCCTCAAATTCAGTGATAATCCCTCTCAGATTAAGGCAGGGAAGA